TCGTGGAACACGATTCTTCAGGGATATGCACAGGATCATGATATGCTTAAAGCTCGGATCTTTTTCAACAAGATTCCTAATAAAGATCGAACCACTTGGAATATAATGATTTGTGGGTATCAGAACGACGAATCTTTGGATTTATATACCCAAATGCTTCAAAATGGTATCAAACCCGATCAGGTAACATTCACTGGATTGATTTCTGTTTGTTGATCACTTGCTGTTCACTGTTGGGGGAAAGCAATGCACTTGTGTGTCATAAAATATGCTTACGATAACGATCCCATAGTCTTAAGTTCATTGATATCCATGTACTCCAAATGCGGATTTATGAACGATGCTAATTTGGTTTTCGATACAACTAGTAGAAAAGATACAGTTTCATGGAACGCTATGATTGTGGCGAACGCGTACCATGGCTCTGCCATGAAGTCTTTGAAGCTATTCTTTTCCATGACCAAATTTGGATTCAAACCCAACCATTTGACTTTTTCAGGTCTCTTAACGGGTTTCGCTCATTCAGGTATGGTCCATGAGAGCTGGAAGCTCTTTAATTCGATGGAAAAAGACTGGAACGTAAAACCTACAACTGAACATTATGCAATCATGATTGATGTTCTTGGTAGAACAGGGATGCTAGCCGAAGCATATGAATTGGTTAAACAATTGCCAGTTGAGCTTCCGGTGTATACATGGGAAACTTTACTAAGTTGTTGTAGGGTCCACGAGAATTTTGAACTCGGGGAAGTGGTGGCACTAAAGCTTTCTGGCACTCGGCCTTTGGATGTTGGGATGGGTGTACTTCAATCAAATATATATGCTGCAAGAGGCATGTGGAAAGATGTAGCATTAGAGCGTTGCTAGCATGTGGCAAGGTGAAGAAAGATTTGGCATGTAGTTGGATTGAATTGAAGGGTCGGGTATTTTGGTTTGTTTACAACGATAGATCGTGTATCCAATTGGAGGAGCTACACCGAGCGTTGAAGAGCCTGTCTGCTGCAATGGATATATATGGTTGAGGTACATTATGTTTTGTTCATAAATGAGCATATGCATAAATTATCAGCAGTAATCGTAAGATTTAGAAATATTTCTACACATTGTACAACTATTTCGTATAACCCTTCTGCCAAATCATGTAACTGAAGAAGTCAACAACACATTTAGTCATCAGATCCATTGAATTCACTAATTCAAAGCATCTGTTCAAATAGACTAAACATGTATGATGCAAATAATTAATATGATTCAAAGCATTAGTTGACATTTCCTAGCAATCTCATAAAATTCTACTCCATTGAAACCATGTTGAAACAAATATTCAAATGTAACTTCATGTACTAAACAAAATCTAAAATAGCCAAATAAAAACCATCTGTTTGTTTACCCAGCATGTTCAAAAATCAAAATATCCTCTGCAACCTGAATCTGATTCTCGATTTGGTCTTCTTCAATAATCTCCGAATGCTCGTTGCTTCTCTCGTGGTGTGTAACACCCTCCCAAGACCCTGGAAGGTGTTATAGAAAATAGACAGCAATAATGCTAAAAACGGAATAAACTAAAAATTTCATCATGAAATACAATGAAAGTCTAATGCCAAACGTTAGATCCATCAAACTTAAGTTTAAAAGCGGAAGTCTAAACTAAATAACAAGAGTCAATCTACTAGTCCATCCCATACCGGACTATTTAATATAGTAAATAATAACAAAAGCAGCCTAGTGAACTAGCTAACGTACTACGCCGACTATTTCCCTTTGCTGGTCCCCGCATGAGTGCCTCCTGAGATACACAATATGGGTTAGCTTAACAAAGCTAAGTGAGTTCATGAAATACTAAGACAACATAACATTAAGCATTGTAATAACATATTTGAATTACAACAATTCACCAAGCTTATGACTGATCACCCATCAATCATGTTAGGACTAAAATAATATGTAAGCAATATCTTGTATTGTATTTGGACTAAGAATGGAAACATCTGAACTGGAATGTTCGCAAGACCTATCTTTACATCTCTGGACTAGAAGATCTCACTATGTCTAAGTCTTAAAGATTTTCCTATCTCTGAATTGTACTACAAGACTAAGTATAAGTCTTAACTCTGAAGTATAAGTCTTAACTTTGAAGTATAAGTCTTAACTCTGTTTAACTCTGAACTATAAGTCTTAATTCTGAAGTACATGTCTTCACACTTTATAACTGTGAACTGTAAGTCTTAACTCTGAAGTATAAGTCTTCAGACTTTATAACTCTGAATTGTAAGTCTTAACTCTAAAGTATAAGTCTT